CACCCAACGATATGGAGACCAATTCGTACCCTAGACAAGATTAATATAAGAAAGTACTTCAGGAGTGCTCAAAAGAGACACAAGACTTGCCCAGGCTTGAGAACCCCAATCCCTAGGCAGATCTCTCGCCATGATCGTGGTCACAAGCAGCAAGGTGGGCGTTGGTGAGTCCGGTCACCCCCGCTCCGAGGATGATTAGAGGCACACGAAAATTGGAAGCAGAAGACGTGGCTCCTGTAGTGATGTCGATAATAGAGGGGACAATAACTTTCGCTTCCGAGCTCGGAGTATGAGCGCCCCTTGGGGTATAAATAAATGTATCTGCGATAGACGGACAATCCAAATTTGAACGAACGAACTCGAAATCGTCGGTGTGGAATTTCTGTCAGGGGCCCTGCCTTGCCATGAATGTCAACCAAACATAAAGATAGTCCTCGATAGTAGATTTAACATTGTCGGAGGGGCATAAATAGCGCATGTTTAGGGACTGAATGCCTATCTGACCGGCACTTAGCCCCAAAGTGTCAGCTTTCTTAGCTGCACATTCCTCTCCTCTGAGGATCTATGTGCGACAAAGAGCGCGCCCAAACGCGTAGCTATGATGAATGAGACGGAAGATAAATGATAATCTGGGTGATTACGCACCACCTGCAAAATCGCCCTCCATACATGGCGTTGCAACAAGGCCTGCTGCTTTCAGAGCGACCATGACCTGGCCATATGTCCCGCGGAACAGTGTGTCGCGGCTATGATAATCAGGAACATTTGTCGAGATCCATCTGTTCCTCAAGTGCGGAGGGAGTATCCATGCCTGCCTCGACAACAGCGCTAGTGATCGTTTTTTGCAAACGCACAAGTCGACTTCGGGATGATGCACGTGGATCGCATGGGGGCGTGGCGAATTGTATGTGGAGCCCGTCCACATGGATGCCTTCAGGTTCTTGCTGAGGCACGGGGGGAAGGGGTTTGGGAACGTGCGCAGGTATATAGCACCACGTGTCGATTGGGTTGCTGGATGGATTTTGGGTTGTCGAGTAAGGTTTGCGTGTGCTTGGATGAGCATTCTGGTGTTTCCGCTTGAAGAATGAAGACGCTGAGCGCATACCAGGCGCGGAACGAGATAAGGATACCAGGCGCGAAATGGATGAACGAGTCTTTAGTGGGGATTCTAGCATACATTGCGAGATATGACAAAAAGAAGAAGTTGAGCTTGTAGCAGATGGGCATGAGTAGGTCAGAGATTGCTCCGAGACAGAAGGAGATTTCTCCGGTGCAGGAAAGCTCGCGAGTGTATCTTCTGAAGGAGACACCGTTCTACGAGGCGTGAACGATATGTTGTTGAACTCCACCACATACGGGATGCCAAATGGAGTCCAACGAATTTGCTGGGGCATCTCGAAATGCCTTACTGAGCTATTCAAGGAAGTATAAGATAGATGAGAACTCGAAGTGGTGAACGGATATCTCGTCGCTAATCCAGTGTAGTCGACAGCGATAAACTCGGAGGACAGACTGTGAGGCGCAATGATCAATAGAATTGACCTGCTGACCAGGAGCAAGGGAGACACATGTCTGGGTAATGTAATGCGAGCCTGACTCGGATGTCAAACACGTTGCAGCAGCATTACATCGATGAGAAATTATAGGGTCTGCGACTCGTAAATGCTGGTCGGTATCACGAACTAGTCTCGAGATCAAGTCCCAATGCCAAGTTTACGACATATCACAATTTCGGGTGTCCATGATATGCGATTTCCTGTGGGACAAGTAATTTTTGGACACGGCGTCTCAGAGTCAGTGAACGAGCGTCAATTGAAAGACTAGGAAGGTTATGAACCGAATGTGGAAACGTTTGCAGCAGGTACTTCATAGTCTAACGCGAGGAATAAGTGAGGATATCACTTGATTGGATCACCTTCGAGGTCAACCAGCGGTAGATTCAATTCAAGTACTTACTGATGGGGCCCTACCTCCCTGGAAAGAACATAGACAAATTCCCTCTTTGTTGTCACGCAGACAGTATCGTGAGACATTTGTGACTGTCACTTGAATATCGAATATTCAAATTAGATCTTAGATGTTGAACAATGCTTTTTAGAAACATCTTCGGAGACAAATGTGACCTTTGGAGCGCGGACTCGCATGACAAATATGCTCGATGGCAGGTGTGTCATCCATATATATTTGATTTTGAGCGCTGCTAGGTGAGTGTTAGTCATATAAGGTGCTGTCAGTCCGGATGCCGCCGGGCAGAGCATTTCACGTTCTTCAAGATGTTGCACATCCCTTGCAACGTTCTTGCACTCATGTGTCCGTATTTTGTGAGGCCCAAGTAGTACTATTCTGTCATAGTACTCTAGCTCCTGAGGGGAAGCCACTGAAAATGTCCGATTGTGATGCGGACTAGGCGCCGTCGTCGCCGATGACCTTGCTCACTACTCAATTTTTCCACCTTACGGTGCAGGCCTGGGTGCTTTGTAAGGAGGAAGTTAGTCGTCGATGAAATTACAACGAGAGTGCGCCGCGGGTCAGACGAGGCATATCCGGGACCTTGGATGCAACTGTTGCATGATTGGTTAATCTGATAGATAGAAGATAATATTAAAATTATTTGATGGCACAATTTTGAATTTGAGCCAGAACCTCTACATATAGCTCACGCTAGTACATGTGGAACCTGACCCAGTGGCAAATCCAGTCGAACAAAGAACTTCATTTCCGATTGCGATACGGCCAGTGGCGAATCTCTAATAATCACATGACATCAGTCAGACCCATGACGTCGTTGCCCAACTTTCCTCTTTGGGAAAAGCACTCCAAAATTCAAGCTGTATCGTCGAATAAAACCATGCGCCGCTGAGTAGCGACACATCTTGGCGCTACCGTCGTTCAAAAAGATAACAGTTAGTCGTCACAGGGAACGTCGTATAAAGGTTGGCCTATCGTTCTTTGTTCACTCACAACCCCATTTCTGCCATCTTCAAAATGAACGCTGATTACTTCCCTCCTACACCTGTTCATTCAGTCGATTATACATCTATGGCTGAGACAGCACCAGCAACCAATGGAACCCATAGTACTGCTAACACCGATGGTCCGATTGCCAAAGCAAATGGCTCTCTCGCTACTTACAGTACACCCTCTCGTGTCACCCTTCATCTCGGACACTTGCCAAGCAAGAAAGATATCAAGGCTCCGTGGCCACGCACACCCTCACGGGTCGGTATAAACATGAGTTGTCACCCGAGGAGTCCATCTGACGTGCATCGGGGTATCTTCTCCCAGGTTGATCCCAACAACCCTCCGTGGCCAGCGTACCGTGGCTACCACGAGTACTCGTTCGCACATGCAACGATGGGGGTTCGGTTGCCTACCATCCTTGGCAAAGCTATAGACGATGCATCACGAACTCTAAATGAGCAGTCTGCCGAAGACAAGATTGTTGACCTTGTAGAATGTTTGGAGAGAATGGACGCCCTCATGGCCGATCTCAGTGGAAATGCTAAGCTTAGGCCAATCGTTGATGACGGTGAAGGTGACGTGGCTCTATGGAATAAGGAAATTGCAAAGTATTTCCAGGGTATGATGTTCGCCATATGTACCACGCATCTTGCCTGACAATCCGCATTTTAGGCAAGGATTTCATGAATGCGCCTTGGTTGTTCGCCGAAGCCTATAAGTATCGTCGTCTGCATGAGTGCTTCAGTGTAAGCAAGTACTGGCATGACTATGATGTTTTCTACCGTCAAAAGGTATGAATCAGACTAGATTAATCTTTTCAGTCTGACAGCGCTTCCAGTGTGACACTTTTTCAAGATCGACAGACGCTGTCTTTGAGCTGTCTATGCGCTTTGCTGAGCCTTTCAAGCAGTCAGAGAACATGTCAGACAAAGAGAAAGCAGAAAGCGAGAGACTCATGTTTTTGGAGTTGACTCAAGGTGATAATAAGAGTTTCTCATGTTCTTGCTACTGACATGTTATGCAAGTGTGTCTGTGGGGCAACTCGACTGACCTTTCACTCTTGATCAACATGACGGAAGAACAGATCAAATCTCTCCAGTCAACTGGAGGAGACCACCTTGCTGCCACTGAAAAGAATATTCTTGGCAACCATCTAAACCAGCTTTGGGAGACTGTCAAAGTCCTCCGCGAAAAGACTGGTGGACGAATTGACTTCGTGTTGGATAACGCCGGGTTTGAATTGTATTGCGATTTCGTGTACGGTGCGTTCAAGAAACAACTCTTGGTGGAGAGATTGACTAATTGTTACCAGCCGATTTCCTCATACAGACTGGTCTGGCTAAGCAGATTCGGTTCCATGGCAAGCGTTATCCATGGTTCGTATCTGATGTGACGCGGAAAGACTGGGACTGGTTACTGAACACCATGGTATATGGGCACCTGTTCCCAAAAGCCTCCGAGGTTGAGCGAGAGTCGCTACGGAGACTCGGGGCCCGGTGGAAGGTAGGGGTAGTCTGTCGGCGCATGAGGTTTCACTCACACGTTTGATAGCAATACGAGAAAGATGGCAGATGGCAATATGAGCAACATCCTTTCTGGTGCACTGGATATACGTTCTGGGACCTTCACAGCGAGGCACCGGATCTCTTCCTCCATCTGTCTCGCGCAGATCTCGTCTACTTCAAAGGCGACTTGAACCACAGGAAGTTGACGTATGATTGTGCTGCACCGGCCAGCGTTCCATTCGACATTGCCATTGGACCCATGGCTAGCGCTGCTGGAGCTCCAAAGATTTGCAGTCTGCGGACAATAAAAAGCGACGTTGTTGTCGGGCTAGGAGACAATGGTGACGCCATAGCGGAGCGGTTAGACAAGGAAGAGCCAGGCTGGAAGATCAGCGGGAAATATGTGCGTACCTTCAGCAGTTATGGTTCTGTGTACTGAGCGTCCACTTCATTTAGGCTGTTGTACTGCTGTCAGAGGGTCGACCGGGGGAGAAAGTGCGGTTTGCTTGAGCGAAGTAAATTTCACTGGTAGGGGTGCTCGTCTCTCCCATGTGCCAGGCACTTCCTTGTCGTTTACTACTATAGCCGTTGAACTCGTGTTTGTTGTAGAGCACTATCGGAAGAGTTTGGATAGAGTACTACCAAATATCCGTTCTCTACATATGTATGCATTCCCACTATCTCTCGCTATTTTTGTTACTGTACATTTTTATGAGATACTTATGTTGTCAATTTTACTGCTTCGAAAAGTAGGTCGAGCAATACCATGACATTTCGCCCACAAGATGAAATGCACCGAGCAATGTCGGTATTTAGCTTTGATTGTGTAAAAATAGAAAGTACACGCACAGTAGCTTACACCCACTGCGTACTGCCGCCTGTTATAGGTAGACTAGGCTGCCTCGTATGTCAGGTGTATGCCGGTCAAGGGTCCCGGTCAAGCACATACATCCTGGTTGTACATGGCTCGCTTGTAGCATTTTTCGCTAATGGCGGCCGGTGGAATGATGCAACGGAGACATTCGCTGAATTATCACTTAAAGGTCGTTGACCAATGTAATGCGCAGTCAACGTTCAACCCAAAGTGTCGGGCAGATAACATATGCCACGGATTATGGCCACTGTGAAATTTATGCTCGAACCACGTCGCGGCGTGCTTGGGAGAGGATGAGAGAATGTACCTTTGCATGAACTCTTCCAACACCATTCCACACAGGATGTCAAATCCATGAGGTCGTCGGAGACTCGATCGGTAAAACCTATTTGTATTGCGCAAGGAAAGATAAGAAAGGGTCTTCTCCCGACGGATTCTTGTGCTTTGTGCTTTGAGTTGGAAAGTGCATTTAATAGGGACGTTCATAGTTTGGCGCACCTCATGACCTTCCGAAGTTCTGCCATAGTGATATTAGATAATCGTCGGACTTTGAACTGGACCTCGCGGCACGTAGCACCGAGGCTGAACAGTAGCTTGTCGAGATATATTGTCTGCTAAAACCTTACCTCAACCTTATTAGTCCTTGACCTTGCAGTACCTTCCTAAACCTTCTGGTAAACCGTATTGGTATGGTTCAGCACATAGGAAAATGTCATATATCATCTATCATACCTGAAATTTTGTCAACTGATAAACAGTTCGGCACTGCGCGCCGCAAGGTTTAGTCTAAAGTCCGACAACTGTCAGATTACCGTTTTAGTAGGGGGGCGGTGCGCGTGTGCGCCTAACTTTGAACGTCTTTTAAAAAATTGAGCCGGCACTCATGCAACGCCTGCTTCAGTATTCTTAAAGAGCCGTTTGATACTCACGTGGTCCCGCCATTCCTGTCTGAATCAAAATTACGGCATTATACAGAAGAACCAGTACTTGCGGTGCAAAACTCCAGAATTATGCCCCCAGGCTTGCTCGCTATATCGCATGCGGAAAAGGAGATCTTGAAGCAGCATTGGAGCTACGTTAACCATACGCAGCAATCTGTTGATTTCGAGCCAGATTCCCATGAAAGGGAAAAATCAGCTCGTACAGATTAACCAGTGATCGATATCTGATCGGTCGGAACTGTGTGAGAGCTTATCACAAACAGCAAATCACAAACATGATCAATTGATCCCATCATACTTACCATGGCGTTCCTCCGGGTGACCATAATGGCTGCAACTCACTACTTCACAAGCACACGGATGCTAGTATCTTTGAATCATATCTGGCGGCTCCTGTAGGCTATTTCGTGGGCTGCTGAGGTGTTCGAGGGATGTAGCGCGAATACAACCGAAGTATGTGACTATGGCATATGCACCTGCCGGGTCTATTACTAAATGGAAAGAGGTCGGGGTCCCGACGTCGACGGGGAAGAAGTACTGCCAGGATACTGCTCAGGCCCGATCACTAGCTATGGGCATGTATCATTCATGCAAAGTTATGCAGCCCTAATCTCCCCATTTTCAAACGGCAGTGATTAAGGCAAGATATCTGTACCATCATGCTCACTATCCGCCACGAAAAGGCGAATTCTTGCAGAGTCAACGTCTTGTTCGTTGTTTTCATCTGGATCAAATTTCTTTTTTCTTCAGAAACAATGGCTCCGGTCGGTCGCGAGATTGATACCCCAGGATTCAGCTGCGGGGCATATGCCCCAGGGAACTTGATTCTTCATCCTATCTCTCCTTGGCAGCAACACTACACGACTGAAATTGTGTGTCGAGCCCGCGGGTATTCTTGTATTCACATCGGTGTAACATATTTTTCAATGTGACATCATCAAGCCCAGGCGCCATTCTTCCCAGCAATGGTTAACCTCTCACTGGCAGTAGTTGCATAGTGCAGTCTCGAAAGTGATACACCCGGCAATGATGTACTGCGAAGGACCGAAGGTGGATTCGCCTGTTTCACCATGTAAGGTAAGCACTCCCTAACTATTGATCTATGAATAAACTGGTGGAACAGCGCATCCTCATGGATGCAGTTCCTCTTACTCACGGCCAAAAACAGGCTACTCGTCCCGCTATGTTGGTTTTGATCCAAAATATGCGCACAACGAGTCGATTGCTGAGTTATTCCTGTTTTCGGTTTCTTCACGTGAGGGGGCGCGTTCCATACGGTTCATCTGAGGATGAGATTAACCGTGTGCTCAGCTTTCAGCACAGTTTACCAGCACATATATAATGGGCTTCGAAATATGGTATGATCATCGGCTTCCAGTACTGTTCAATCATGTTTCCAGCTGCATCCCTGTTGACGACTCTCCTCCTGGCCTTGTCCATCGCGGCATCGCCTGTTGAAATTCGCAGCTCCCCCATCACCCTCCCCATCGCCAGGAGGCTAAACACCTCTGGTGGTACCATCAACCTCTTGCAGCACGATCAGTCTCGCGCGGCCGCCCTCAAAAATGTCGGGGAAAACACCCTCAGCCGTCGTACTGGTAGTATTACTGTGACAAACGATGCTACAAGCTACATCGCAGCAGTTGGCGTTGGCAGCCCCGCCACAACCTGTGAGTTCAACACTTAGAAAACATGCGGCTGCTAATGTGTTATTGCAGACTACTTGATTGTCGACACCGGTAGCTCGAACACATGGGTTGGTGCCGACACTAAATACGTGAAGACCAGCACCAGTGTTGACACTGGCGAGGCTGTAGCGGTCACCTACGGTTCTGGCTCCTTCTCTGGTATGACACAACGATATCATAAGTTGAAAATACCTACGATTATCTATAGGAACTGAGTACACCGACACCGTCACTCTCGGTGATGGGCTCACCATCACCGCCCAGTCGATTGGTGTTGCTGCTACTTCGGAGGGCTTCACCGGTGTTGACGGTATCCTTGGCATCGGGCCCCTAGACTTGACAGAGGGAACCTTGACAAAAGAACCAGACACGACGATCCCGACTGTCACTGACAACCTGTATAGCCAAGGCATCATTGCTGAGACAGTTGTCGGTGTCTCTTTCGAGCCCACCACTTCGGAGTCAGACGCAAATGGAGAGCTTACCTTCGGTGGAACTGACGCTACCAAGTACACTGGCGACATTGCATACACGTAAGTTGCTGCAGCTCGGAGATCAATCCGGACTGACAGCAATCGTTGATTTCAGTCCTCTCACCACCACCTACCCTGCATCCTACTACTGGGGTATCAACGAGAGCATCACTTACGGCACCACGACCATCTTGGCTGAGACGGCTGGTATCGTTGACACTGGCACCACCCTCATTCTCATTGCTACCAGTGCGTATCTCAAGTACAGCGAGTGATCTCAATCTGACCAGTGTTCAATAGACGCCTACAGCGAGTACCAGTCTGCAACTGGCGCTACTGAGGACAATGCGACTGGTCTTCTCCGCCTTACTACCGCCAAGTATGATGACCTCGAGGACCTGAACTTCAATGTTGGCAGCGTACGCCTTTCTGTCCCAAATCTTAATGCCTCTTGTTCACTATTTTGCACAGAGCACCTACGCTCTCACCCCTAACGGTCAGATCTGGCCTCGTGCCCTTAACACCTACATTGGTGGTAGCTCCGATTACGTCTACCTCATTGTCAACTCCATTGGCACTCCAAGTGGTGAAGGTCTCGACTTCATCAACGGCTACACTTTCCTTGAACGCTTCTACTCCGTGTTCGATACCACCAACTCCCAAGTCGGTTTTGCCACAACCGCATACACGACTGCCACCACCAACTAATGCAATTTTTTTTCTTGGGTATTGGGTATTTGTATGTCATAATGTAACATTTATCACAACCTATAGATCAAGTCTTTTGAAAGCATTCCTGGAAACAATTGTGACTGGAGTCGTAGTTGAACGTTCGAATGTCAACTATTGCTGTTCCACGAAGAAACCCCAGCTCTACTTGCCCTAAATCGTGAGACCACCGACTCAGCGTAGACTGATCCAAATCTCTAAGCATCTAGATTGAGACAGGGCTACAATAAGGGACGAATGATACTCTAATAACCAATCTCGCGGACACTGATTGTCCAAGCTCTTTCCTGAGATATGTGTGCTCGTGTCTATGCCGATACCGGCGAACTGTAACCATGAATAGTTTAGTTGCGGACCGTTAATATTTTGATGACACACATATGTAACATCGACCAATGACAAGTTGGAGAGAAGGAGAGCTGCTCGCAGAGAAACTGATGGTCTGGTAAACAGGTACGCGTATATGCGATCGCCGGGTTCTTGCATTCTTTGCGAGTGCGATGGAGAGAACGCAAAAATCGCACGACCTACCGGCCACGGCTGTTGCCAGCTTGTTAAATGCAGTTAAACGTGCTTTCGTTTTGAGCCGTCACCTTAAAATCCAAGACAAGCTTGCCATTGGGTCCCTCTACCAGGGCAAAATTGCCCGCGTGGGCAAGCCAGCAGGCTTCGGTCAATTAAGAATGACCGGACATGGTGAGGGCGTGGCGGAGGGATAACTCGGAGTCATAGCAGTAATGAGCAGCAGGCTGAGAATCACTACAAAATGGATGATCACAGAAAGATGTGGTGCATGAGGCGGTATAGTACAACAAACAGCGACAGTCATCGAGCTACTTGAAGGATACTAGCTGCAAGCATCACTCGTTCTTTTTTGATGGTGTTGTAAATGCGAACCTTCGGCCATTTTTGAATGGGAAAGGCACTGAGCTAGTGTTGCTCTTGGGTTGCTTGGCACATACTACTGGTGATGAAACGCACGGTGAGTCGCAGAACACGTATGACGCACATGGCAGGAAGATCAAGAAGACGTTGCATATGGGCACGGGAAGACGACATACATGGTGCATATCACCCAGTGATGCACCAAGGATAAGCGCGAAACCGAAGTTCCCACAACAAAAGTTGGAGGTAGCGGGCTTTGTCGCGTCAGGTGGCCATATTACTCATGATACAGGTTTATATAAAGGAGGTTCATAGCGGCTGGTCAAAGCTCTACAGTATAAGGAAAAAAACATATTTACGGGTCGTCCTTTAGGTCGAAGACCCTATATGTCGGAAGCTTAATCTTAAATTACTTAATCATCGACGTCCACTGCAGAGGTAATGGCACAAGTGCAAATAACTTGATACTTCTTCAAGTTCTTGTCTATCACCTGGATCAAACGGATATCGACGATTAATCTGCCATTGGACTTCCAGTTCCCAGGACAAGGCTTCTTGGTGAGGCGCTCCAACATGATGTATGTACAACACTGATAGCAAGAAGTGATTTTGAGACTTCTCGACCCATTAGACGATACCTGTAGGTGGCCATGCATTACACATGACCTGCTAAGCGCTGATTTCCAATGGGAGTCTGAGACTGATGTGCGCCGGTTACGGGATAACATTTGCAGTGTGCACTGGTTTCCTTCGTGGTCGAGGGACCGACTCGGACTCCGTAGTCATGCGAACCTCCAGCAAAATTTTCCCATTTGCATAAATGATCCATTGGATCATGGGTCAACAGCCGATGTGCTTCAGAAAATTGCCAGCTTATTTGATAGCATCATTATATTCCATGGTTTTGTGCCGAGCTATCAAATGGCATCAGTTGAGCAATTCAGTCATCATCTGGTAGGCCCGAGACAACCAGGGACAACCCAGGCTAGACAACCACTTTCCTCAGCGACGATTGCTCCACCAACCTTGGCACCGACAATCTGCCGTCGAAGGTGTATTCATGATAGGTGAGCATCTCTATGGAAATGAAGTCACGCGAGTAAACGAATCATAAATTCCTGCCGCCTGGGACCAAAAACAAACCTCTTGTCACATTTTATTGAGAAGTCGAATTCTTGCACTCGCGATGACTCGGACCGCGACTGTCTCGTCATCACTTTTTCGAGGAGGAACATCTCATACGTAGTTAAGGTGTCCAACATTCGCGTTCGCCAGCGCATATATAATGGGCCACTGAGTATGATATTGCGTTCCGGTAAGCCATGTTCCCCGCTGCATCCTTGTTGACAATTCTCCTCCTGGCTTTGTCTATCGCGGCATCGCCTGTTGAAATTCGTGACTCCCCCATCACCCTCCCCATTGCCAGGAGGTTAAACGTCTCTGGTGGTACTATTAACCTCTTGGAGTACGATAAAGCTCGCGTAGCAGCCCTTAAGGACGACCGTCATATTGGTAGCATTGCCGTGACAAACGAAGTTACAGGCTACATCGCAGCAGTTGGTGTTGGCAGCCCCGCCACAACCTGTGAGTTCAACACTGGGAAAACATGCGGCTGCTAATGTATTATGGAAGATAACTTGATTGTTGATACTGGTAGCTCGAACACATGGGTTGGTGCCGACACTGCATACGTGAAGACCAGCACCAGCGTCAACACTGGTCAGCCTGTGGATGTCGGCTACGGTTCTGGCTCCTTCTCTGGTATGACACAACGATATCATAAGTTGAAAATACCTACGATTATCTATAGGAACTGAGTACACCGACACCGTCACTCTCGGTGATGGGCTCACCATCACCGCCCAGTCGATTGGTGATGCTTCTACTACGGAGGGCTTCAGTGGTGTTGACGGTATCCTTGGCATCGGGCCTGTAGGCTTGACAGAGGGTACCTTGACGAATTCGCCGACAGTGATGATCCCGACTGTCACTGACAACCTATATAGCGAAGGCACAATTCCTCAGAAGGTTGTTGGTATCTTTTTCGGGCCCACCACTTCGCAGACAATCACCAATGGAGAGCTCAGCTTTGGTGGAACTGATGCCGCCAAGTACACCGGCGATATTGGATACACGTAAGCTACCTCAGCTCCTAGATCAATCCAGACTGATGGTGATTGTCTCGTCTCAGTTCTATCACCACCACCAACCCGGCATCGACCTATTGGGGTATCAACGAGAGCATCACCTACGGCTCCACAACGATCTTGTCCTCCACTGCTGGTATTGTCGATACTGGCACCACCTTTCTTTACGTTGCCACTGGTGTGTATGTGGAGTGCGGCGATAATCATGGTCTAATCAGCGTTCGATAGATGCCTACAACAAATACAAGTCTGAAACCGGTGCTACTGTGGATGGGGCAACTGGTCTTCTCCTCGTTTCTTCTACCCAGTACAGTGCCCTTAAGAATCTGAACTTCAATATTGGCAGTGTACGCTATTTCTGTCAGCCCTCACACCCCTTGCTCACTCACCACTTTGCACAGAACACCCTCAGTCTCACCCCTAACGCCCAAATCTGGCCTCGTTCTCTCAATACCAAAATTGGTGGTAGTAGCAAAGCTATATATCTCATCGTTGCCGACATTGGCACGCCCAGTGGCTCAGGGTTTGACTTTGTTAACGGCTACACATTCCTTGAGCGCTTCTACTCTGTGTTCGATACCACCAACTCCCGCGTCGGTTTTGCCAAAACCTCGTACACTGATGCCACCACTAACTAACATGGAATTGCCAAAGTACACAAAATATAAATTTTCGGATAAGCAGCATACATATTTGAAGGTTGTACGGACTCTGCTTCAGTAGGCTATGGAGGTCTTATTCCTCGGTCGATTTTGCGTATAATTAAATTATAGCAATAGTATCACATTTGGTTAGCATGTGTTAAATTCCCTCTGTGTAGAGTATAATAACATGCTTGTGGTACTACTATATACCTGATATACATTGCAGAGCATGCTGTGATCTTCTTCGCAGCCCCTAGAACCATCACCCTCCTACAATGTTAACTTATCAGCTTCTCCTGCCAGTGATGGACAAGTGTGCAGATGTGACCCAGTGGTGATGCAACAGGGTACTTGTACAAGCCATCTGTACAGACTGTACAGGCACATGAGGAAGCACCTGGTAAGCCTTATTGCATATAGTGGTTTAATGTGCGCTGAACTTGCTATTATTGGGCTTCATTGCAATAATACTCTGAGAACACCAGTTGCTATAGGGTCCACAATATTTAAGATGGGATTGAATGCATATGTCATGCAAATGTCAAGGTGATATTGTCATCTTAGGCATGCAGTCTGTGGCCCAGGACTGAAAGTTTGATGCTGCATTGGCCATGACTGAGTTGCCAAGTGGAGCTTGATGACTCTGAACACCAAATCACTCCCCTGTCACACCTTGTGTCTTGACAGTACAACATTTGTGTTGCACAACATGGCTTGATTTTTATGTTGGAAAAAATAGAGCAGTGTTAGAAGGTAATAAGGGATCATGTGTAAAATCCTTGATTTTTGTGTGATGGCTTCCCTGTGATGGGAAAGTACACTTGTGAGCAGTGTTTTACTCCCACAAGCACTTCTTGTCTAATAAAAAATACATGCAGTGAGCTAAAGCTTCATCTACACTACTTTCTTTTCTCTTTTCAGGAAGGGAGACATGATTCACAAGCACACAAAGTGCCACACATTCAAAGTTCACACACAGCACTCCAGACTATTAGTTGTGTCATATCCCATAATCCAGACTCACATTTCATAACATTCCCACACCTTCCAAGCCTACATCTGGACCCCATATCCAACTCATTGCTAGATCCCCTTCTGCTGTGTGCTCCACACCTCAGTAGGATTGACTCTGCTCTGGATTTACCCCTGAGCTCCAGACATCCAGACTTCACCTTGTCTTGGATTCAGGACTATATCCACCTCACTGTATCCCAGTCCTGTATCCACCTCACCTTCCAGATCCTCAGATCTCTGGACCTCCAGATATCAACCATAACTATTTCCAGATGTATTCCTGCCCTCTGTCTGATATCCTGCACCTATCCCCATTTAGACATCTCTGCCTTTCCAGCATTCAGTTACCTCTTCTTCTGTCTTGCTTATTGATCCTTGTATGAGTCTTCATCTCTGAGTTCATTTAGTTATGTTCTGTCTTACTTACTAATGTGTTTTCACATGCTCATACATAGCCTTGCTCCTTTACTTACTGATCTCCTCAGATAGTCTCCAGTATATACAGTGGCTCAAAAAACTGTCCGCATATTTTTACATTTTTCACTATCTATGATATTGTGTGAGAACGAACAAATGCCTCAAGGACATGCTTATACCACATTGTAGTATGGCTTCAGGGCTTTCATTTGAGCCCTACACCGTGGGAATCGGTGGAGATATGGTGGAGATACAAGGCTCACAAAATGGTGACTCATGTGGACAGTTTTTTGACTCAAGTATTTTACAATAATAACCAGGTATTCTAGTATTTTGTATGACCTCCCTTGGCTTTAATTACTGCCTCTATCCTTCTGGGCATACTCTCAATTAATTTCTGGCAATCCTCAGCTGTGATCTTCCCCCATTCCACTGCTACTCTCTCCCAAAGCTCCCATACTCCTTTAGGGAGGTTTTCATAGGCTTGAAGCTTTTTCTTGAGTGTTCTCTAGAGATGTTTAATGACATTGACATCAGGAGACTGTGCTGGCCAGTCAAGAACATTGATGTTATGTTCTTCAAACCATTCCTTAGCTCTTCTGGATGTGTGCTTTGGATCATTATCCTGTTGGAAAATGATATCTTCTTCATCAATCCCTGATTCTGCCAAGCTAGGCAGCAAGTGGTCATTTAAAATGTCCACATACTGCTCAGCATTCATCTTCCCCTCAACCTCAGCAAGCATTCCCACACCATTCCATCCCATACAGCCCCATACCATTAAAGAACCTCCTCCAAACTTGACAGTCCCATTAACCTCTCTGTCTGTTAGGCCATCTCCCTTCTTTTTCCATACATATACCTTCCCATCTGACCCAGTCCTATTGATTTTGGTCTCATCTGACCATATAACATGCTTCCAGTCCTCTACAGTCCAGTGTTGATGAGCTAAGGCAAAGGCTAGTCTTCTCTGCCTATGTTTGATGGAGAGAAGAGGCTTTTTCTTCTTTGTTACTGCCTTGAGATGAGCTGCCTTGAGAACATTCCTCACAGTTTGTGAAGAGACAGGGGTAGTGATGGTGGAATTGATATAATGGGTGGCTTGGACAGCATTATCAGCCTTTCCTGTAGTGATATGTTGGATAATAGCCCTTTTGTCAGTAGAGGTAAGCTTGGATGAACGTCCTCCACAAGAGTTTTCCTTGTCTGGGTGGCTTTCTTTGATAAACTTGGCCACAGTGGACTTGCATACTCCAGTTCTAGAGGAAATTTGGTGAGCAGAGAGGCCAGCATAAGACAGAGAGAGGATATTATCTCTTTGAGCAGAGGAGATGGCTTTCATGGTGATTATGACTATGATACATGAGATATTCTGGTTTATATAGTTAGATATAGTCATAAAATAACATAATGACACCACTTCATAATTTATATAATAGTGGCATGATTTTTGTGGTATCATAAATAATGATTTATATAGTTTTAATATACACTCAAAAAACTGTCCACATAAGTCATCATTTTATAAGCCTTATGTCTCCACCATATCTCCACCGATTCCCACGGTGTAGGGCTCAAATGAAAGCCCTGAAGCCATACTACAATGTGGTATAAGCATGTCCTTGAGGCATTTGTTCATTCTCACACAATATCATAGATAGTGAAAAATGTAAAAACATGTGGACAGTTTTTTGAGCCACTGTATGAGGTTGTGTGCTGTGGAGATGGTCATTTCCAGTGTGTTATATACAGTCTAGGACCCTACATAGTGGAACAACTCATGCTATCCTATGTTGTCAAACATTGGTGCCCAAAGTGAGTATTGGCACTTGCAGTCAACATCCATTAGTACTGATAATTCATGTAGATGCATTGCAGTTCACACAGACCTTGATAGTGGTGGTATATACTGCCATTGTGAGCACACTGATTTCTTGATTGATGAACTACACATGGATATACTGTGGGATGAATATGGTCTCATTGGCAATCTTGTCATGAGTGGAATAGCCCACTCTTCAATACCAGGCTGATTTGTTTTGTATAGCCATTCACTAATGACTTTCCCCAAGCTGACATCCATGAGTTGCTGTCATTTGACCTTCTCCACCAGCTCATTAAAGGGGCTTTCAAAGACCATCTTGTTGACTGGGTCACAAAATACCTCAAGGCTGTGCATGGAACCAAATGGTCAGAGGAGATCATGAGTGATATAGATTGCAGGTATGTTGCCTTGCTTGTTTACTCAATGACAAACTCTAACAACATGTCAGAGTTGCTGCTGTAGCATCATTCTCTGGTCTACAACAATTTCCTCAAGGTCACGACTTTAAACAATGGACAGGCAATGATTCCAAAGTGCTGATGAAAGTTTTTCTTCTGGTTATTGGAGGCCATGTACCTCAAGACATGGTACACACATTTTGTGCATTGTTGGAATTCTGCTACCTTGTCTGGTGCAACATTATTACCAGAGATACCTTGAATAAAATTCAAGATGCACTTTATTGTTTTCATCATTATTGCAAGATATTTGATGTTGTTGTTTCCACCTTCTTGCTCCCCCATCAGCACTCAATGACTCATTACTCAGACATGATCTGACTCTTCAGCACCCCAAATGGACTATGCTCATCAATAACAGAATCCAAGCACATCAAGGTAGTAAAGGAGCCTTGGCAGTGGTCAAGCAGGCACAATGCTCTTGATCAGATGCTTGTGACCAATCAGTGCCTTGATAAGCCTATAGCATCCTGCATGGACTTTGATGTGTGAGGGATGCTCACTGGCACTATTTTATCAAGTGCATTAGCTGCTCTCAGTAAGTCTGTGAATGTTTCTTTCTCTGACCGTCTTCTCACATACTCAACAATATGCATTGGCAGATGAAAACAAACAAGTCATCCCTGATATTGCACCACAACCTGTAATTGACATTGATGATGGTAAGATAGTTGATGGTCCAACAGTTCTTGCTTCTGTAGCACTCACCAGAACTCCCCATAAGTAACTTCCTGCAATGTTTAAACTTGATCCTCACCACTGTATCACACAGAATGAAAATGGGCGCAGACAATAGCAGCATTGGCACATAAAGTTGCCATTCCAGATCTATGACAACTCATTTGTCACTTTCTGTTCTCCCAGCTCAACCCAGATGATGCCCACAACCCTGAAGACATCCCAGCTACTAGCTTACCTTGGCATCCAGGCAAGCTTCATGTCTTCAATTCTGCTGCTGTGATGTTTTACACTCCCAGTGATCCAAGTGGCATTGGTGGCATGTGATGCAAACACATTCACACATGTCCACTCTGGTGGAATGAGTACCCATGCAATGATTGCATATTCATCAATACTGGTTCAGATGCTGAAGGGATGCGAGGACTCAAAGTTGTGAGAGTCATCTGTTTCTTTTCTTTTAACCACAACTGGGATATGTATCCATGCACTCTCATACACTGGTTTGAGAAGATCAGTGATGATCCTGATGAAAATACTGGTATGTGGATGGTCACCCCAAGCTTCCACAAGGATGGCTCAAAGAATATTGTGGTTATTCATATCGAGATGGTGTGACAATCATACTGGTGCTAGGCACGTATGATCACTAGCATGGTTCTTCTCACTCCCAGGAAAGGAGATAAAGCACTAATCACTTAATCCATATATATCAACTCATCTGCTTTTAGTACGCTCCTTTGACAATAGGCACACACTCCTCCCATGACCCATGCTCCCATTTAGCTTCGGTCCAGTCCTAGGAATCTATCCTCCCATGTCCTATCCATGTCCACCTATCTCCACTGGTGCATTATTTTTCCCAAACATCATTGCTAAATGAGCTGCAGGTCTTATTACACATTACTCATGTCCCACAGTGCATGATGTCTTATTACCTATAGACTTGTTGCACACTCACTTACTATGCTACAATTCTTGCCTATGCATTCTGGACCTATTAAGGTTGCATGCTCAAGGGGGTCAGATCACAAGGGCTTGGCCTCAGCTCATATACTGTGCCCCTTTCCCAAGTATGTGCCCTTGATTTCTGGGGGCTAGGACGGTCATCCAAAGTTTCCAGGATTTGACTAGGGCAGACAATGGACATCTGGATCTGAAATGTGAGATAAATCTGATGGATGTCTGGATGTTACTTGGGCAAGTGGATAAGACTAATCCAGACGAAGTCCAGACTAGAAACTAACAGGGGATAGACTACCCTAAGGTAGAGCCAGAAATGTAGTCTAGGATGCAATCCTAAGACTTGGAATATGACAGGAGACTTGTCTTGAGTCTGGAGGACACAGGAATGAGCAGGAACTAAGATGATATTTGAACTGGAGTATTTCTGAGAGTTACAGGAGGTTTATATACTGTAGGTATCATATAGGAATCAGTCAGCAAACATAAAGGCTATGTACAAAGCATATGCAAAGTCTATTAGTAAGTAGGACAGATCACAAATAATGAACACTGGAAATGAAATGTATGTAATGGATCAATAATCAGAAGGGAAACATAGTTAACTAGAGTCTGGAGACAGGGGAAGTCTAAATGGGGTTGGGTGCCAATATAGGGTTTGGATTCTGGAAGGAAGATAAAGATAGATCAGATCATTGGAGATCCAGATCTCAGATCCAGATATCTGGAGAAGCAGATTTAGAGTTGAGAGTCCGGAATGGCATATGACAGGACCTTCACATACTATGATAAAATGACTGCAGTACATATGATTGAGAGAGTTCCCTTTCCCCCTGGACTCAGCCCTATAGGAGAGTCGCTCTCACATTATTTTTGTAGACCTTGTGCAATTCGACTGCTCTGAAGTTCTGTACTGCTAGGACCTTATACTTAGGCTCTTGAGCACCCAACCTGTGACCAGTAACTTAGTGTGGTCCTTCTCTTGTGCTATCTCTCTTGCACCCAGCTGCTCTATCAAGCATGGTTGATTTTGTGCATGTTATATCTACCGCACTAGTATCCAGCATTCGCTGCACTCGCATGTATCCTCTAGTATTCATCTCATGCTTGTGATACTAACACCAATTGATTTTTGCCCACACTCATGGTCGATTCTCTGACATAGGAATTTGAAGGTATACATATGTCCTGCACTCTAGTTTCTTAGGCTGCTATAGATTTTAACTCCTTTGCTCACTTGCTTCCCTTGCATATATTTGAAGGAAGTGCTTCAATAGCAGTCCTCTCAGGCTGATCTACTGACTCGCACTTCTTAGGATAAGTAGTGCTAGTTGCTAACAGCCTAGTACCTATTTCTTCTTCACAACAGTCTTCCATGCAGCACACCTGATACCTATCTATGGTTCCAAGTATATTCCTCACACCCTCAAGTTTTACCATTCTCTTGATACTTTCCACTCATTTTATGTCAACAAATATGCTGATTACCATGCCTTCAAGATAGTGTTTTGACTGGATGACATAGGTGGGTCCTCAATTTAATTATCAGTCCACTGCTAATTAGGTCCTAGGTACCCCTCATCTTCACCCCCCTTCAGAACAACATTCACGAACTTCAGGCCCTCCTCAACTTTGAAGATCACCATGCCCTCAATAGCATCCTGACTGGATGACATAGGTGGGTCCTCCATTTAATTATTGGTCCACTGCTAATTAGGTCCTAGGTACCACCTTATCCTCACTATACCCCCCTTCAGAACAATATTTGCAAACTTCAGGCCCTCCTCAACTTCAAAGGACCATTTGAAGGCACTCAAAGTGGATGATGAGGAGGCATATATGAAGCTTATCGATATAGCAAAGGATACATGCATCACCCACTTGCTGCAGCAGACAGATGCCTATTTCAATTTGCTTGTGCAGGCTGCCATGGCATAGCAGAATGAGTCTGGCCCCTTGGATACAAACTTTGACCAGGAGTCCAAAGCCATGTGACTCTGGCATTGTTCTCAGTGATGATGAGTCAATGCCTGCACAAAATTCAGTATTAAGCACAAGTTCAAGCTCTATTTACTCTGATAATGACAATGGTGATGATCTGGTTACACTTGGAATTGTGCTGGAAAGGGTCCCATTGAGGCTACTGAGCAGAGACATGCCTCCCTGAAGGCTCCCAGTATCTTACCCTGTCATTCTGTCAACCAGCCTATGATGACCAGTCTTAAGCCCATTGATGCCATGGTGCCCTTTGGTTGTGGTCAGTGTGAGCTTATCATCAGTGACTGTCAAACTGGAAAGACTGCTGTCACCATCGACATGATTCTTAACCAGAAGCAATGGAATGATGGTAAAGATGAGGACAAAAAGCTCTACTGTGTCTATGTCACTGTTGGCCAAAAGTGTTTGACTGTTGCTCAGCTCATTAAGACCCTCAAGGAAAATGATGCAATGAAGTACTCCATCATTGTTGCTGCTACTACCTCAGAAGCTGCTCCCCTGCAGTACCTTGTGCCATTCTCTGGCTGTGCCATGGGTGAGTGGTTCCATGACAATGGCAAGCACAGTATGCTGTTATTTGCTTCTTTCAGGCAAACTTGGTACTGAGAACTATGTCAGTCCTCATAATCTACAATGACTTGTCAAAGCAGGCCATTGGTTACTATCAGATGTCTCTTCTCCTTCGTCATCCTCCTGGTTGTGAAGCTTACCCTGGTGACATTTTCTACCTCCACTCTCATCTCCTTGAGTGTGCTGCCAAGATGAGTGATAAGTTTGGTGGTGGATCTCTGACTGCACTACTTATCATTGAGACCCAAGGTGGTGATGTCTCCACTTACATTCCCACTAACATATGTGATATTGGCATAATGTTACATTTCTTGATCCTCATCTCACATATAGGTCATTTTGATCACTAATGGCTGTCAATGACACACATCTTCATTCATTCAATCAATCCCATCCATATCAATATTTTAATCATGACAAGGATGATGCAGCTTCAATGAGGCCATGTTTGATAGCATCATGACCGCATACATATCATAGTTGGGTCCTCAATCTAATCCTCAGTCTGTTGCTAATGGTCAGGTCCCAGGGTTTTAAAGACCTAGACACTAATATCAGTATCCTAAGTACAAGTGTGAGTGATCTAAGTACAGCAAGATAAGAAAAGGATAACTCACCCTCAGTCTGATATAATGGACTGAGGGAAGAGAGGGATGACAGGAAATCAAACATATATAGTACTTCATATTCCAAACATCTCATTCTGGCATCTGCCATGTTCAATGATGTACACCAACACTCCTCCTCAATTGATTTACCAGATTCCCAGACTAGTGTGAAGTCGTTCAAAGTCCTTTCAAGGTAATGCTTTGGTGAAGATATCAGCAAGATTGTCCTTTGATCTGACATAATGGAGTTTAAGACAGCTGAGTTTGACCTTTTCGCGGATGGAATGGTGATTGATATTGATTTGTTTAACACACACATGGAACGACAAGTCTTCTGATAGGACAGTACTTCCATTGTTATTGCAAAGCAAGGGACTTGCAGCTAATTGGGGGAACTCGAGTTCAGTGAGAAGAGTTCAGAGCCATGTGATCTCACTTGCAGCCTTGCATGTTGAGAGGGCAACCGTCTTCTGTTGACAGGCACCCCACATAATCATTCCACTTCCTAAGGTGCAACAGTAGCCACTGATGGAGCAGCATGTGTCAACACAACTCACTAGGTCACTGTCAGTGTATCCCAGAAGACATGTGGTATGTTCGCCTCCAAGCATGAGCTTGGATTCACAGGAACCTTTCAGATATTGTACAACACACTTTGCTGCTTCTGTTACAAACTAGGATAGTCACAACAACAGTTACTCGATAAGAGCAGTGACTGAGGTTGAATCAAGACCTTACAAATGTAAGGGTCATAAGGCAGGTCAGAGAGAGTGTCTCTGACTTGAATATCGGTTCAGACGACTTAGGATTGGAGGTCCTAAGCGAAAGATGTTTCAGGTGAAAACCTAGTAGATTAAAGTGAAGATCTACTGAGTACATGACCAGGTATTTATAGTAGGTAACCGAGTCAGAGATAAGGAACAAGTCAGAGATAAGAGTGAGTCAGAGATAAGTCATCTAGTGACGGCAATAGCGATCATGATGTAATACAGATAAGAGAGATGAGTCACCTAATGACGGCTATAGTGATCACGATGTAATACAAATGAGTAAAGGTTTGGGAAAATGGATAGGGGGCAGATGTGACTGTAACAGCTTCCCAGTGAGCACATCCATAACAATCAAGGAATTTACAAAGTTGCAGTGTAAGTGATGTCAGGACAAGTTCCAATAGCAAGGTACATTAGCAACCCAATGAGTGAGCGGAAGGGAGTCCAACTCATGAGATCTTGGTCCTCATCTGAGGTTGGGGCATGATGTTTGTGGGAGAGATGAAGGCCAGGTTCCATGGGAGTGGAGATGGGAGCTGCATCAGTGAGTCCAAACTGCTTAACTATCTTATCAATCAGAGCTATTTGTGAGAGCTTAATTGTTTGAGAAGATTGGTCATGTTTGAGAGCAATACCAAGACAAAAGTGTGCTTCACCCAGATCAGAGACAGTCTATTTAGTCCATAGTTGTGCTTTGAAGTCACTGATAACAGCTTTAGTACTGCCAATGGTAAAGAAATCATCCACATGGATTGCAACAAGAAGTATTCTGATGTCTGTCTTGCAATAGTATATACAGTGTTCGCATTTTAGCCAGGTAAAGCCCCAGGAAAGCATGGCTTGATTCATCATGCAATTCCAGACTAAACCTCCTTGTTTCATGCCATAGAGACCTTGTTGAAGTTCCCAAACATGGTTCTCCATGCCAGGCTCAATGTAACCTTTGGGCTGATCCATATAGCATACCTTGTCAGGGTCAAGCAAGCCATAGAGAAAGGCAGTTTTGATGTCAAGCTGGTTGATCTCCCAGTCAAGTGCTGCACCAAGGTGAGCTAGGATACAAAAAGATTTGAGGCATGCAGTTGGAACTGATGTTTTGGTATAGTCCTGTCCCCAAACAGCAGAATACCCTTGGCATATGTATCTGGCTTTGAAGTGAACTGGCAGTCCATGTTGGTCACATTGTGAAGAAGTAATAGACACTAGGCAGTTAGCAACTAGCACTACTTATCCTAAGAGGCACAAGTTTAATTGATCAGCCTGAGAGGACTGCTATTGAAGCACTTCCTTCAATTATGTGCAAGGGAAGTAAGTGAGTGAAGGAGTTATAATCTATATCAGCCTAAGAAACTTGAATGCGGGCCGTATGTATACCTCTGAATTCCTATACCAAAGAATTGACCGTGAGTGCAGGCAAAAATCAACCAATGTTAATATCACAGGAGCAGGATGAACTGTTAGAATATACATGCAAATGTAATTGGATGTCAGATGCCAGTGCAGCAGTTGCAACGTGCACAAAATCAACCATGCTCTATGGAGCAGCCAGTCGCAAGGGATATAGCATGAGTGAAGAACAGTGTTAAACTACTGGTTGCAGGTTGGGTATTCTTGCAAGAGCTTAAGGGTAAGATCCTAGTGGTACGGACTTCAGAGTGGTCAAATTGCACAGGATTGTCAAGAAGGAGCAAAATAGATGGATAGCACAAGGTCTACAAAAATAACACAAGAACAACTCTCCTATAGAGCTGATTCTGGGGGAAAGGAAACTACTCAATTGTATGTACTTTGGTTATTTATATCGTAGCACATGAATGTCCAGAATGCGTAGGTGAGAATTGTCGTGTAGTTAGCAAGTGCGTGATGAGTCTATAGGTAATAAAACATCATGCACTGCAGAACATGAGTAGTCATGTAATAAGACCTGCAGCTTGTTTAGCAATGACATTTGGGATAAATAATGCACCAGCAGAGATAGGTGGACATGGATAGGACATGGGAGGGTGGATTCCTAGGACCAGACTGGAGTAAGAGTGGATGGGTCAATATATATGGATTTAATGATCTGCGCTTTATCTCCTTTTCTGAAGGTGAGAAGAACTGTGCTATTGATCATATGCGCCTAGCACTGGTATGGTCATCACAGCATTTCAGTTTGAATACTGGATGACCCTTCATAATCTTTCAGCCATGAGGTACTGATGTCCAGGGAACAAGTTTGTACATGCCAAGATCACATAGTGAGGCAAACTCCTCCTGGAGTGCAGCATCCCATGATGCAGTGTCTGGTGACACCATTGCTTCAGCATATGTTGCAGGGTCATCAGGGTGTTCAGACACCAGGTGCTCTGGCATGGCTGCAAGGAGGTCAGCAAAGAGTGCCAGGTTTGCTGTTTCTGGGGAGCTAGTTTGACATAAGGTACAAATATGATCAGCAGCCACCATGGAATCAAGAACCACACACTGTGTTGCAGACATATAGGGGATGTCAATGAGTGCACTCTGGTGCTCAGATGGCACATGGGGTCGAGTAGACCGACATGATTGAGGTTGATTGGAGGGAGGGTCTTTAGCTAGGTGTTCTTCATTAGGTGCATCTTCAACAGTGGGATGCAGAGGTTCAGTAGGCAAGGATACAATTGGGTTTTTGAGGGAGAGTCCAGGGTATAGGGGGATTGTACTGGTTTGGTGGGATTCAATAAAAGAAATGTTGTATGATACATAAACCTTATGAGTAGCACAATGGTAACAGCAATATGCCTTCAAATCAAGTGAGTATCCAATGAGGACACACTCAATAGATCTATTGTATATCTTAGGGTTGTGGTTGTTTTGAATTAGAACGAATGTGTGACATCCAATTTCATGTAAATGAGATAAGTCGGGCTTATGTGAAAACCATTGTTTGAATGGAGTGTGACTGGTTTGCAAAACAACAGGAGTTCAGTTTGACAGATAGCATGCTGTGAGTACAAATTCATCCCAGTGATTTGGGGGCACATTACAGGCAGAATGCATTGCTTGTGCTTTTCCCATGAGAGTATGATGGAGCCATTCAACACAACCATTTTGGGCAGATGTGTAAGGCGCTGTGAACTGATGTTGGGTGCCACACATGAGGAGCCACTCACACATGGCATTGGTCTTGAGTTCACCATTGTCAGATCAATAGATGCCAACTTTCAGGCCACATTCAAGTTCACGTGCACATTCCCATGCAATGAGGGCAGAGAAAGCATTGCTTTTAGATGTAAGGGGGATTGCCCAGGAATATGAAGAAAAATTGTCTATAATGTCCATTATGTACCTATTTCCTGCAGCTGACACAATGTCAGGGTGCTCCATCAAGTCAACATGTACAATGCCTAGCTGTCTGTTCACACAAACCCCCACTCTAACCTTAGGAATGCTGGACTTTGTCTGTTTACCAAGAATACAGTCATCACAAATGGTGGGTTGAGCAGAAAGGTCAATGGGCATATCAGTTGCATTGCCAGAATGTGCAAGGTTGTATACAGCACAGTAGTGGGCATGACCCAAGTGACAGTGCCAAGACTGGAGGTTGGGGTGTTGTTGGGCAAGGAATGCATGGTCAGTGGAAAGCTGACCTCCAGATAAGGCATAGAGGCAATGTGACATGAGAGTGCCAGTAAGCATACAGGTACCATTATGGCCTTGGACCCAGCAGGAAGTAGCATTGAAAGACACAATGCACCGGTGTGCAGTGCAGATAGCAGACACTGAGATGAGATGTACAGTGGTGGTGGGGATGAAAAGGACATGATCAAGCATTAGGTGGATTCCTTTTGCAATGATAAGACAGATAGATCCAATGCCAATGGCTGAGATGGAGGATCCACCCACACCATGGACAGTGCGGAGAGGAACTGGGCGCAATGAATAAAAGTCAGACTCAGTGTTACTAACGTGCATGGAGGCCCCACTATCAAGGAAGAATGGGGTCAAGGATGG